CCGCCAGCCACCCCCTGCAAGGGCCATGGTGGCTGCGCGGGTCTCTTCTCATTAAATGGCATTTTCAAGGCTGGCTGCTTTGCTGGCCTTATCACAGCAAACCACACGTGGGGAGCAGAGGGGGCTTTGCAGAATCGCACGGCTTTTCCAGAAAATGAAGATTTTCCGACCTGTGGCCCTGGACAGGGTGGACTGGGGGTTAATTCCCGCTGAGGGCTCTTCCTGCCACTGTTCCTGGGGAGGGGGCCACATGTTGATGCCAGGCAGTGGATGATGAGCCTGGATGCACAGAGCAGAAACCACGTGATTGAAAGCTACTGTTGAGTGTTTTGCAGGGTGGGGGTGGGCACGAGGCAAGAGAAGTTCTGAGGATGTGCATGGGTTGGCATGGGGGTGGCAGCTCAGAATTCAGCCCAACTGGGGTCCCTCCTGCCTCACCTCGCCACTCCTGCTCTCCCACGTGGAAGGCATTTTCCAAAATACTGAGTGTGTTTTATGCACCTCTGCCCGGGTGTGCCTCCATACAGGCCGCAGGGACTCAGGAACTGCTGCCCCTCGAGCTGGTCCAGGAGCACCAGCCAGCCTGGTCTGGTCTGGTCTGGTCTCTGCCCACTGCAGTGACATCAGGCCTTCCAACCAGACTACAGTACCAACTGAGAGAAGCAGACAGCCCCCCCAGGCCCTGTTACAGTGGACTCACAAGGATTGGCTGACCCACCTATGGACCTGCCCACTGGACCTCAGGGAGATGCTGCAGACCTGACAGACTCATGGGGTCATTGCCGCTGCTGAACATAAACATCCAGATGAATTGTGTGAAATTGATTGATAGATCAAAAATGGTTGAATACCAAAAAAAGGTTGAATATCCATTTCATGCACTTCAGCCTAATACTTTGCATCCTGTGCTCTTTATCCTTTTTCCAAAAGCACTTTACTGATCAGGATTTTCTAAGTCGGGGGTAGGCGTGGAGACGGATAGTTGCAACAGGAAGTGAGGCTGATGGCGTGGGCCCTGCTGGCTGGGATGTGCCAGGGGAGGCGGGGACAGCTGGGGCGTGGATCTCACTGGTGCTCCAGTAGAACCTGGGGGCGGATGGCTGCCTTGTGATCTGGAGTTTCCCTCAGGGAGCTTCACTAGAGCTTGCTCTGCACCATCACACCTGGCACACCTCTTTGTCCCCTTTGTCCCTCTTTTAATCTGAAACAGCAAATCCATTTGATTAGTTACAGGAACTTGGGTGAAACCCTCAGGCCAATTCCCCAGGAAGGCGACAGACTATGGATTGGGACACGTTCCAGCAAACTACCCACGGCTGCCAATTCAACCAGTGTTTATTGAGCACTTACTGTGTCAGACGTGCACTGGGAGTTTGAAGACACAGCCCTGTCCCCCTTCCCGGATGGCAGAGCCTAGTGGGAGAGACAGATAAAGATGGAAGGACCAGCCGAAAGGTGAAAGCAGCCCCAGTGTTGTCGAGGGATGAATGCATAAAGAAAATGTGGTGCACATACAGTGGAATGTTATTCAGCCTTGAAAAGGAAGGAAACTCTGACCCATGTTGCAACTTGGATGAACTTTGAGGATGTTATGCTCAGTGAAAGAAGCCAGTCACGAAAAGTCAAAGACTGCACGATTCCACTCCTAGGAGGTACCTGGAGTAGTCAGATTCTTTCTGAGTCAAATTCTCAGAAAGTGGAATGGTGGTCGTCGGCCGCTGGCGGGGAGAGCGGAATGGGGAGCTGTGGTTTAATGGGCACAGAGTTTCCGTTTTATAAGATAAAAAATGCTCTGGAGATTGGCTGCACAACAACGTGCATGTACCTAACACTCCTGAACTGTACACTTAGAAATGGTTGAGATGGTAACGTTATGTGTATTGTACCACAATTAAAAATGTTTTAATTAAAAAGAAAAGAAAAGGAAGCATGTACACTCACAGGCTGGGACTGTGGTCCCAGCTCTGGAGGAAAAGGCCAGGAGGCCGTGAGATGAGGACTCAGTGAGGACCAGTGATGCACCTGGCCCTGTGGAGTCCCGGATGCAGCTCTGTGGCGGTTCTCGGTCTCTCCCGCTGGAAGCCGCATGACAGTGAAGCGTGGGCCATGTCGCCGAGTCGCCCTCAGGGTTATCCCATCCACATCCCTTCAGACAGGGCCTCTGTTGGCTGTGAGTGGGGGAGGGTGTGCTCTCCACTCAGACAGCGTCTCCCAGGGGCGGCAGCGGGACCCCCATCCTCCCTCCTGCGGCACCTAACCCTAGTGACCTCTGGACCTGACAAGCACCTCCCAAACCCACCACCCCATGGGAACTGCTCCTGAACGTGGTCCCCAGACCAGACCCCAGATCCCACCAGGAAGTGTAGTGCGGGGTCCACGCCCTGAAGACGCTTAGCACCCCACTGGGGATTCAACTTGTCTTCCTGGAGAGAAGTCTGGCAATATGCGTCATCATCTAAATGTACACACGTCCCTCGACCCGGCGGTTTCCCTCGGAATATCTCCTAAGGCGATAACCACCTGCCTGATGACGTGTGGGCAGCAATGATGGTTGTGTCCCTGCTCACAAGAGTGAAAAATTGGGAAGAATTTCATGTCTATCAGTGGGGGTCTGATTTAATTAAATTTCATAAATCTAAACTATGGAGCCATTGGAAAGTGATGGTGGAGACCATTACTTATTAACACGAACAGTTGCCACAGTATATAGTTAAGTGGGGGGAGACAGGTTGCATCTACATAGTCCTATTCTTCTAAAAAACAAAAACAAAATTGTGTATGTGCCAGGAAAGGGTGTAAGACAATTCACACCACAGTGTTAAGCAGGCCTCTCTCCATGTGGTAACGTTATGAGTGACCTATGGTTTGCCCATTTTACTTTTTTGTTATGGTCCTAATTTTGCATGCTATGTATGTATTTCTCGTCTCAGGAAAAAAAAAAGACCAAGGAGTTTCCATGGCGGGGGTGGAGGAGGCACTGTGGTGCGGGTCCTAAGCCCCCCGGGCCCCTCTATTCACAGACGGCTTTCGAGAGCTTGCTTCATTTGGTCCCTGCAAGGCCCAGGCCGTATTGGGGGGCAGGAGGCTGGCATGCTCAAGGGAGGTCGGTGAAGCCAGTGTGGATGGATGCTCAGGCCCTCATTTAGCAGAGGCAGGCCTGGTGAGCCCCTTGCCGACCCCCCATGACCTCTTGGGCTTGGACGCCTGTTCTCAGGAGTCATGCAGCCCCTCTCAGGGACAGGTGGCCTTGGTGGCTGCAGCGTAGGTTGTTTCCTCTCCCTGTACAGCTCTTCCCTGCCCTCTAGGCATCTGGTCTGCAGGACACATAGTGCCCGCGATGATGTCTGACCCCCTGAGGATCTGTTCATCGCTCAGTCACCGTTTAGTGAGCATCTTCTTTGCATCTGTAAACTGTTGGGATGAGACTCTGAGGCCTCCAGTGTGGCGCACAGGCCACTAGAATAGTGGACAGCCTTGGGCAAGTTGCTTAACTTGTTGGAGCCTCAGTTTTCCCATCAGGAAAGTGGGGATAATAGCAGTGCTTCCCCAGAGAACTTTTGTCACCGGATGCCTCTGGGAATAGGGGAGGCACTCAGTGAATTTCAGACCGTGTGCATGCATTACCGACTCAGATAAATACACATATTTTGTAGGAGGGCTGGGAGAGGATCAGAAAGGGTTTTCCCAAAGGGACACCCTGAAGCCTTCATCCCAGCAGACAGGCTCTGTGTTACACAGGAGCCACAGGAAAGCAGGCCCTTCCGCACAGGGTAGCTGAGAGGAGCGGGGAGTGATTCGAGCCAGGAAGATGATCCGGACTCAGCGGTCCCGTGCCTGGCATTCTACTGTCTCCTTCGAGAAACAGACGCACCTGGCTCAGCCAGTGAGCAGCCAGTGCCGTACAGTTAGGTGCTGAGTTTATGCAGACGCAGTACTAAGGTTAAGTTTCTCGAGGAGAACCTGCCAAGAACCCTGTGCATATGGGCCTATTAAAGGCTCTGAGAAGTCCTGCGGTAACGGAACTTGGTTTAACCTAGAGCTTCCCAGTCTATTTGTTTGGGAACCTTTTTTTTTTTTTCTTTTTGGTCTGGCCCCTGTTAACATCCCACAGGTCTAATGTGGTGCAGAGGAAGTGTGGGCACTGGGAAGCACCATCCTAGAGAGAATCGGGGCAGACTCAGGCCTTCTGATTCTAAATTCTCCCTTTTGAGTAGGGCACTTGGTCCACTGGTTATAAAGCTGTCCGCATGTGTTAGATGAGCAGAGGAGGGTGACGGCGAAGATCGTGGCACCGTGTCTGTCGAGCGGCTGCCCCGTGCCCAGCACTGGGCTGTGGGACTGGATGTTCACCTGAGTCTGACCCTCACGGCCGCCCTAGGAGACGCGTGCTGTTCCTACGTTCCGCCTGTTGGAGGGTCAGGAAGGGTGATGTGTCCGGATCTCGCAGCTGCTGGGTGACAGACCCCAGGGGTCAAACCCAGGACGTCCAACTGACTGCCAAGGTTTCCTCTTCTCCGAGAAGGTCACCTCATTCCTTCACACGCTCCCATCCTCTTACGAAATACCCTGAGTGTATTTCTTTCATCAGAAAAGAGATTACGGAGCACTTAGTGTTTTTTGAAGTAGGCATTAAGTGTTCAGGGGCCTTATCTCCGCTGCTGCTCTGAATTCTGATCCGTGGCTCTCGCTGAGATTCTGTCCTCTCTGTGCCTACTGCAGAGAGTTCTCGTCCCGAGAAGCTGTCCAAGACAGCTTCCAACACTGTACCATGGCCCAGCCTCGCTTTCCCTCCAGCCTCTTCTCATGCTGCCCCAGAGTCTTGAGGGGAAGGGGTGGGCAGGAGGAACACGGGTGGCATCTATTGAGCACCTTCTGGGTGTCATGCATGGTGCTGATCATTCTCCAACTTTCCAACAGGACGTGGGTGGGGGGACCTGCATGGGAGCACGGGGAGCGCTGCTCTGATTCCTGTGTGCTAAGCTGATGTCTCCCCCGCCCAGGTCTGGAAGAGGTCGGGGGCCTGGTTCTACAAAGGGCTCCCCAAGTACATCCTGCCCCTGAAGACCTCTGGCCGGGCCGATGACCTCCACTTCCAGCCTTTGCCCCTGGAACCCGCAGAGCAGGAACCCAGAAGCACTGAGACCAGTCGTGTCTACACGTGGGCCCGAGGGAGAGGTAAGTCCCCTCTGCCCCTTCTCCCAGGATAATAGCTAACGTTTAGGCTGTCAGCCAGCCATGCGGTGCCATGAGCACCAGGCCAGTGCCTGCCACACTCTCCTCGCGGCTCCTACTGGTGTTTCCACCCTCCCTGCACCCGCACCTGGACCTCAGCGCCGTGATTGCTCTGTGTGAAGATTTGGAGGGAGGGTCTGCTGGGGGCCATTTCATAAACAAGGATGAGTTGGGGGCAGGGATGCTGTGAACAGCACTACGGGTCTTTTGCAGAAATGTGATGTCAATGGAGGGTTTTTGCAAAGAATAAGAATGCCTCTTTCCAAGGCAGACCTGTACCATCTCTTCTTGGCACTTGTCTTGCATCTCAGTAAGAGAGGACTCCTGGCTTCCCTGGTCCTAATGAGCAGAGTGACTTTGTGCCCAGCACCCTTGGTGTTTGTGGCGGCTGCACTGATGTGGGTGTGTCCCAGGGGGCCCCCATCAGAAGGGAGCTCTTCCCCCCGTGGTGAGGATGCAGCGCCGGGTGTGGTAGACGGCTCTGCACGGCTTGCATGATGCTATAATGCTCATGACTTTATTTTTGAAGTTCCAGGTCTCACAATGGGTTCCAGAGGCAGACGGGGCTGGTATTAGCGGCCCCATTTTATAGATGAGTAGCTTGAGACCCAGAGAAGAGGATGGACTTACTCAGCTGGGGTGTGGCAGGGCTGAGACCAAAAGGCAGGGTGTTGCCCTCTGAGCTGTGGCTCCTTCCGCCCTGAAGCACCGAGTTTCAGCCCGAGACTCAGGGTCTGAGGGCCCTAAATGAGACAAAGCAGCCAGAGGTATGACAGGCTCATCCTGAGGCCGGGGCGGTGGACCCAAGATGGGAGACGCAGCTTCTGAGGGGCTCTCAAACATCTCTGTCTTTGGATTATAACCAGCATCAGACTATCTTTGCATCACTTGGGCTTTTTTTTTTCTTGTTACAAATGTAAGGCATGTTTATTATGAAATTTCGAAGGTTGTCAAATAATATGATTTAGAAGGTAATAATCTCCCGTAGGTCGATCCTTCCAGACATAACCGGCATTAACAGCCAGGCGTCTGTTCTCCAGCTAGCTTTCTCTCGGCCTCACTTGGCTCTGTCTGCAGCCAGCCTTCCTTCCTAGTTCCACTGGACTCCATCTGCCTGCTTATTCCCGCGAGTCTGCCTTCCCGCCGTCACTGCCAAAGACGAGCCCTTGTAGGGACCATGGACGAGTGCCGTGAGGAGGGGAGCAGGCTGGCCTGGCCTGGCCTGAGCAGGGCGCCGTGGCCGCCAGCCCTCAGAGGAGCCAGCAGGGGATCTACTGGGGAAGTGGCTCCCTCTTGCATCATGTCCCTTTTCCACCCTCAGAGCCGGGCTTCTCCTGCCCCAGCCCTTCAGGGCGCGTCCATGTCCCGCACAATGAGGGAAGACACTCAACTGTGGGAACAGAAGCTGGGGGACACTGGCGAGTTGCTTGGAGCAGGTTGAGGAGGAGGCCCTGAGGCCCCACCCAAGGGGCCCTCACTGCCCTGTCTGCTCCAGCATCAGCACAGCACACACGTGCACACACACACACACAGCCACGCAGACACAGATGGCCTTTTAATTATGTGGGCAATGAGGCCAGCAGCCCGCACAATTGGGGTTGGCACCGTTTGTGAGCCGAGTTTATGCGGAAGCCAGGCCAGGCGACGTGGAAGCCCCCTCGTGTGAGCTGGGTCTCTCTCTGCAGACCAGACTGGAATGCCCCCAGGCCCCCAGAGCACAGGGAGTGCCTGCTCCAGGCCAGGCCCTGCCAGGCGTATCTCAGCCTGTGATTATCTGAGTGTTCGTGCTGAGCAGGAGGAGGAGGCCCAGACGGGGGACCTCCAGGTATCACCCATGGGCAGCGGGGAAGGGCTGATGGCCCCAGGCTGATTGTGGAGGCCCAGGAGGTGTCTGCACTCACGCAGAGAGCGGGTGCACCAGCATAGGGCACATGTGGTAGGCAGGACTGAACTTGGGGAAACCCGCAATCATGGGGGAGGGAGGAGGAGGAGCTGGTGGAGGAGGCAAAGGTGGCGTTGTGGGGGAGGCAGGAGGAAAGCAGAGAGGTTCTATGCCGTGGAAGCCAGAGTGCCAGGGGTTTGCCAGAGGGCTCAGGAGAGCCACAAACAGGCCAACTGTCCCTGAGCTGCTTGCAAGCCTGGGTGGCTGTGGTTGTCCTCTCTGATTAGCCTGTGCAGAAGCCAGGATCTGTGCTTTCTGATTGAGTTTGGGTCCCCTGGTCATCCCAGACCGGGTTGTGTACCAACAGAGGTACTCGGCAGACTGCCGAGGCTTGTGGGAGACCAGAGGCCCCAGCCAGCTGGAACCATCCTTACAGCTGGTCCTGAGCCTGGGGGCAAGGAGGGAGCCCTCCAGGAGGTCAGCCCCATGCTAGCCCTTCTGTGGCTCCCTGGTGGTCCACATGGCCTCACGGCAAATCTGTGGCAGCCTCTGGGGAGAGCTTGGGCGTGCCTGCCTCTGGGAAGCCCCCCAAGCTGCCCGGGGATGCTGCCTCATTCCTGATTCCTTCTCAGGCTGGTCCCCTTGAGGCTGTCAGGCTCCCTGCAGCAGGCAGCCCGGGGGTAGCCTTGGGAGTCTGGCGCAGGGATGTCACTGGGCCTTTCCAGACCGCTGCCCACTGGGGAACCAGTTGGTGTTTTTCCAGCTCCGAGAGTGGCTTCCCTTCTCCGCCTCCAGCCCCATCATCAGTGGTGTCCAGGTGCCAAGTAGCTGCTGGGGTCAGAGCTGCTGTTTGTGGTCCAGGTCAGAGCCTGTCTGGTAAGCCTGGCCCTCAGAGGACCCCGTTCAGCCAAAATCAAGCTTGGGCCCAGGCGGAAACAGAATGACTAGCACTGGGCTAGTCCCAGCACACTGGAAGCTGCACGCGAGCAGGGCTGTGTCAGTCCTGAACAGGCCGATTCCTCAGCATGTGGCCTGGGAGAGGCACGGGATGGATGCTCATTAGATGAATGGATGAACCACCTGCTCCAGGATGAGGGATCTTCAGTAGGGCCTGCAGGCACCTCTGGGTCAGGGGTCTGTTGGACAGCCCCAGGAGATACTTGGAGGCTGTTGAAACCACCCCGCTTGGGGCCGGCCCTGTGGCCTAGTGGTTAAGTTTGGCGCATTCCACTTCAGTGACCCAGGTTCAGTTCCCAGATGTGGACCTGCACCAATCATCGGCAGCCACGGTGATCCGCATACAAAACAGAGGAAGATTGGCATAGATGTTAGCTCAGGGCGAGTCTTCCTCAGCAAACAAACAAACAAAACCACCCCACTCTCCAGAGGCGGCTCTCCTCCTGGGCCCCTGCCTCTGGAGACCCCAGGGCCAGCATCCCCCTCCTGCCACGCAGTCCCTGCTCCCTGGCCTGGAAGCTGATCCTGGCACCAGTGTGCTCTCTCTGACCCTCTTGCCCACCCCCAGCCCTCCATCTCTCTGTCCCTCTCAGCCCTTGGGCCGGTACACCTGTGGCTCCCAGCTTCTCCCCCCAGCCCAGCCCAGGCCATTGTTTTTCTCCTGCCCTATTGGAAGAGGAAAGGTAATCAATAGATACAAGCCATGAACTTTTCAGTCCACAGAGCCATCAAGTGAAATGTATTGATGTTCCTGAGACAGGTTCCTTTTCTTCCTCCTTTAAATTTTCTTTGTTCATTTTTAATTACATAAGAATGCATGGTATATTTTAACAAGTTAATTCAAAAGGGTATGAAAAATTAAAATCTCTTCTGCTTGCCATCATTTCCAAATCCCTTTCTCCCTCTTCCTATAAACATGTACTTGATATAGGTTACTTTTTGTTTTGTTTTTTATTGCTTTTGTTTTAACAACAAAAATAGGCTCTTACCTATAACTCTGTGTGTTGCTTTTTTCAATTAAAAGATCGTCATGGGCATGACCTCCAGGTCTCTAGATACAGATTTTGGTTTATTCTTTTTAATGACTGAATAAAATCCCATCATAGTGTGTATTGTGATTTAATTATTCACCTATTGATGGACATTCAAACTGTTTATGGCTTTTTGCTGCTGCAAGCAATACTGAAACATCCTTATATGTATATCATGCTCTTATTTCCATGGGGTAGGTTTCCAAAAATGAGGTGGTGTATTTTACATTTCAATAGACGTTGCCAAACCATATTCCAAAAATATTACAGTATTTTATACTCACTTATACCTACGTCCTTGCCTGCCATGAATATTATTGGTGTTTATCCTTTTGGCCAGTATACTAGATGGAAAATGACATTTCATTATTTAACTTTGCATACTTGAGAATCTTTTCATATCTTTATTATTTATTGATTATTTAGATTTCCTCTTTTAAAAGTTGCCTGTTCAAATCCATTGCTCATTTTTTATTAAGTTGTTTACTTTCTCTTATTGATTTGTAGATGCTCTTTATATATTAGGGATATTAAATGAGTTGCAAATATTTTTCTCCTTGTTTGACTTTATGCTTTGTTTGACTTTAGTCTTTGCTTATAGTATTTTGCTGTTTAAAATCTATTTTTCTATTCAAAAATAATTTCTTTTAATTTTTGTGAAGTCAAGTACATTTGCTTTTGCTTTGCGGTTTCTAGATTTCCTGTCTTGCTTTGAAATGGCTTCCTGACCCTAAGGTTTAAAAAAAATCTGCTAAATAAAAAGTTTAAGTAATATGAGAATAAAAGGAAATTCCTTAAACATGATAAAATTACCAAAAAAGAAAAAAATATAATACCTAATATCGTATTAACTGACAAAGCATTGGAACCATGTTCTATCAAAATGCAAGTCAAGAATGCCTCCGTCATCACCATCACTTAACAGTATTTTGTAGTATTTAACTAGTGTAATAAGGCAAGAAAGTAAAGTAATCTATTTCTACTGGAAAGGAGAAGAAATTCTCTTTTTGGCAGATGATGTGACCGTATACCAGGAAGAGCCAGGAGAGCCCACTGAAACAGCCCCCTAGGAT